GTGCTCATGTATTGGGCATCTAACTGCAAGATTGACAGTTCTAAACCACCAGTGTTTCCACGGGAGAAAGATGGGGCTCTCTACTCCTGTAAACAATTATAGGAAGTGTGAAAGCAAACTACCTATGTCAGCTCCAGAGTCTATCCCGCTTGGCAGTTTTTGCTCTATTCCTGTAAATCAGGTGTGGGATCTCAGGTGTTTGTGCACATAGAGGCATAAAAGCCACAACAATCTGGATCTGTCTACTTTGTAGGCTGTTTACAAATCTGCTTAGGACACTTGCTTTGTTTTCTGCCCCTGCTTCCTCTTGGTGTGGCCAGGTAACTGGTGACATCTCCCAACAACTGGACCTTGACATTCTATGGTGACAGAGTGAAACTAAAACTGACTAAACGCCAACCTTGTGTTTATAAATTGTCCTTTACGTATCTTTCAGTCTTTGCGTAACAAAACCAAGAAAGCAGGTGAGGGAGTGGAGTATCACACTGTAATGATTTTGCTGGGTGCTGGTCTTTTAGCCTGTCTTGGCTTGCCAGAGTCTAGTTTAGTTCTTAATGCCAGACCACCTGGGATTGATCACAATCCTGCTACTTTTCCATGTGACTATGAATCTCTCCTTGCCTCAGTTTCCCTGTATGTAAAAAGGAACACACTTGTGCTTGCCTTACAGAGATTCTGATAAGAATGAAATAGCACAATGTTGGGAAGCACACAGTAGTAGTTCAGTGAATTTTAGCAGTTAAGAATATTGTCATATGCTAATTATTACCATTTATATTACTTGCATTTAATAAACAAGTTCATCTTCTAATCCAGTGGTTCTCAACCTTCTTAATGCCACGGCCCTTTAATACAGCTCCTCAATGTTGTGGTGACCCCCCAACCATAACATTATTTTCGTTGCCACTTCATAACTATAATTTTGCTACTGTTAGGAATCATAATGTAAATATCTGATATGCAGGATGTATTTTCATTTTTACAAATCGAACATAATTAAAGCATAGTGATTAATCACAAAAATAATATGTAATTATATGTAGGGTTAAGGGGAGAGGGGTTCCCCACAAATCATCACAGGTCCGGGAGGCACAATTGTACAGCGATAATAAGTAAAGATTATAGTAAAGTCATAGAGAGCACGAGAGTTAAAAGATA